GGCCTTTGACTGTGTGGACCACAACAAACTCTGGAAAGTTCTTAAAGAGGTGGGAATACCAGCCCGCCTGACCTGCCTCTTGAGAAACCTGTATGCAGGTTAGGAAGCAACAGTTAGAACTGGACATGGAACAACAGACTGGTTCCAAATAGGAAAAGGAGTACATCAAGGCTGTAAATTGTCACCCTGCTTATTTAACTTATATGCAGAGTACCTCATGAGAAATGATGGGCTGGAGGAGGCACAAGCTGGAATCAAGATTGCTGGGAGAAATATCAGTAACCTCAGATATGCAGATGATACCACCCTTATGGCAGAAAGTGAAGAACTAAAGAGCCTCTTGATGAAAGTGAAAAAGGAAAGTGAAAAAGTTGCCTTAGAGCTCAACACTCAGAAAACTAACATCATGGCATCTGGTCCCATCACTTCCTGACAAATAGATTGGGAAACAGTGGAAACGGTGGCAGACTTTATTTTTGGGGGCTCCAAAATCACTGCAGATGGTGACTGCAGCCATGAAATTAAAAGATGCTTACTCCTTGGGAGAAAAGTTATGACCAGCCTAGACAGCATATTAAAAAGCAGAGACATTACTTTACCAACAAAGATCCATCTAGTCAAAGCTATGGTTTTTCCAGTAGTCATGTATGAATGTCAGTGTTGAACAGTAAAGAAACCTGAGCACCAAAGAATTGATGCTTTTGAACTGTGGTGTTGGAGAAGACTCTTGAGAGCCCCTTGGACTGCAAGGAGATCCAGTCAGTCCATTCTAAAGGAAATCGGTCCTGAATATTCATTGGAAGGACTGATGTTGAAGCTGAAACTCCAATACTTTGGCCACCTTATGCAAAGAACTCACTCATTTGAAAAGACCCGAAAGATTGAAGGCGGGAGGAGAAGGGGACAACAGAGGATGAGATGGTTGTATGACATCACCGATTCAATGGACATGAGTTTGAGTAAACTTCTGGGGAGCTGGTGATTGACAGGGAGCCCTGGCGCTGCCGTCCATAGGGTCGCAAAGAGTCAGACACAACTGAGTGACTGAACTGAACTGAACTGAACATAACCTCATATTCTTTTAGTTTGACCTTTCTGAGTAGTTTGATGAAACTGATGATTATAAAAGCAGACAAGTAGTGAAAGTAAGTTGGCTACAAAGGAAGAAAATCAGTGGGCTTTGAACGAATCCATAATACTACATTGAAACTCTAAATTTAGTAAAGCTGTATCTGTAAAAGGGTATGAGTGTGACCTATGAATTACATACTCATCAAATACTATCATTCACAGTTTGGTAAGAAGGCACTCTTAGACACATCAGAATTCAGAAATTACATCTTTCACATACCATTCTTGTAATAATTACATTAGTAATTTCCAGTTTATCAAGATGAATCAAAATTAGCCATTCTAGAATGAAGAAAATATTATAAAAATATATTCTAAAAGCACTAAGAGCTTCTTCAAAGGGAATGACTCAATTCATAGGAGTAGTTTACTACATAATATATGTAATATATATTATTATATTTATTATAAGTAAGTATTTATTAAATATATATATAATCTTACCTGGGTGGTAGCTGCATGAGTTACACATATGTAAGAAGTACTGAGGTTTACACTTGTGCCTTTTAAATTACATTTAGTTTTAAAAGTCCACAAAAAATCATATTTGCAACATAGAGGGTGATAGAGAATTAATATAAACTATATAAAAGTAAATATTACAAACTTACAAGAAGGGAACAAACAACTCAATAGAAAATAGGAAATGAATCGGCAGTTCTAAAAATTATAAAAACATTTTATGTCACAGCAATCGTACTTCCAGAAATTCATTCTACAGATACATTAAACTTATTTGCAAGGCTATTATTGTAGTATTATTTATAACTGCAAAAGACTTGAAAATTTGAATATGAATCTTGTTATTGATTTTTGAAGTGACTTTTAAGTATGGACACAAATCCTTTGACATTATATGTAAAGCAATGTGAATATTTTCTCCCACTTTGTGAGTTTTCATTTTACTCTTAATTGTATCTTTAAGTGGAAAAAATGCTGGGAACAATTGAAGTTGGGAGAAGAAGGGGACTGACAGAGGATGAGGTGGTTGGATTGATAGCTTACGGTGAACAATGTCGGATTCATGATCTCCAAAGGATTTAGCTTTGGGACCAGGGACCAGGCTTGATCGCTCAAGAGCTTTTGTGTAGCAGAGTTTTATTAAAGTAAGAAAAGGGACAGAGAAAGCTTCTGACACAGACATCAGAAGGGGGATGGAGAGTGCCCCCCCTGCCAGTGTTACCAAGGGAGTTATATACTTTTTTAATTAGTTATTACAATAAATCAAAAGAATGTCTCAAGTATGTGAAAACTTGACCAGACCCACTCCCACAAGCTACATTTTAGGATAACAGGATTAGAACTTAACAATAGAAAGATCCTACCAGACCCACACCCATAATATACATTCTGAGATATCAGGATTAGTCAGAAGGTTTTCGGGAAGGAGAAACTGTCCTCAAGCAGGATACATTGTTGTTATATAATCCTTAGTACAGAGGTTAAACTGAGTTGTTTATTGTGTAATCATCAGTTCCAGGCTTAAAGGAAAAAAAAAAAAACAACCATTTTATGTGACTAAGACTAAGGAATGTAGAGAGAAAAAAAAGGAAAAGTTTGTCCTTTCCTCCTCCTTGAAAACCCCAGACCCCTCTCTCCTCCTTGGGGAACCCCAGACTTCTTATCAACCTTCCTGGGAATTGACTCCCTCAGGATGGCATCACCAACTCAATGGACATGAGTTTGAGTAAATTCTAGGAGTTGGTGATGGACAGGAAGGCCTAGCGTGCTGAGTGACTGAACTGACTGAAGTGGAAAAAAAGTTATTAATTTTAATACTGTCCCATATATCAGTTGTTTTTCTTTTATGACTGCCATTTATGTTTTATTTAAAAAACTTTGACTTATACAATCATAGGGATGTTCTCTTATGTTTTCCTCTAAAAGCTTTATTTTTTAAACTTTAACAGTTAGATCTGTAATCTATATAGAACTGAGTATTACGCATGATGTTAAATAAGGGTAAATATATTATGAGTATCCAGATGGTGTTCTTTTTCATTGAAATCACTGTCATTTTCCCCACTGCACTGCAGTGTCATGCTTGTCCTCAATGATACCTAAATTATGTGTTTGGGTCTTTTTCTGCGTTCTGCTCTGTTACACTGGTTGCCTTGTCTATCTTAGTGTTAGTTCCCTCTATTATACTTATCATAGCTTTATAATTGGTTTCCTGCTGAGTAGTGCAAATCTGCCATTATTGTTCTTCAAGATTGCCTTTGCTGTTCTTGGCCTTTTGTATCTCCATATGCATTTTAAAAATCAACTCATCATTTTCTACACTCACAAACCTGTTAGATTTTGTCTTGCAAATATAGATTGGTTTGAGGATTACTCACATCTTTACTAAAGATGAGCCTTCCAAATCATGAGCATGGTATGTCTCTCCATTTATTTAGACATTTTAATTTCTTTCAATAATATTTTAGTGTTTAGTATCAATGTCTTTCAATAGATTTATTCCTTGGATTTTTTTATGCCTTTAGCTGGTATAATTTTTAAAATTCTCTCTTCTGTTTTTGCTGATATTTAAATACAGTTAATTTCTATGTGATGATTTTGTATTCATACACCTTGCTAAACACATATTCTCTTTTAAATTTAGGATTCCTTCCATCTCTGATGAGGGATAAAGTCTTAGGATATCCTATTCTAAAATAAAATAATGGATTCTCCTGTTTCCTGGCTTCTTTTTTGGTTTAGTCTCCATTTTTCTTCTAGCTGAACTTTATAATGTTGAAAACCAAAAATCAACATTTTTTGATCTGTCCAAATTCAGCTTGGAAGTAACTTTCCTCTTCAGTGCATTTCAATTCCTCTATGTTCCTGTTTCTATCTCCACTGAGTTCATTCTTAAGTAATGACCTTAGGCATTACTGGTACTAATCTATCTGTAATGGCATAGTGAAAATTCCAGATCTGCTACTTACTGGCCACCTGACTTTGGACTAATTACACAACCTCTTGAGACATTATTTCCTGTAAAATGACGATATTTAGAATTAGAACATGTAGATATAATGTGTGTGTGCATATAAACCTTCCCCACAGTTCAGTTCAGTCGCTCAGTCGTGTCCAACTCTTTGTGACCCCATGGATTGCAGCATGCCAGGCCTCCCTGTCCATCACCAACTCCTGGAGTTTACTCAAACTCATGTCCATTGAGTTGATGATGCCATCCAACCATCTCATCCTCTGTGGTCCCCTTCTTCTCCCGCCTTCAATCTTTCCAAGCATCAGTCTTTTCCAATGAGTGAGTTCTTCACATCAGGTGGCCAAAGTATTGGAGCTTCAGGTTCAGCATCAGTCCTTCCAATGAAGACTCAGGATTGATTTCCTTTAGGATGGACTGGTTGGATCTCCTTGCAGTCCAAGGGACTCTCAAGAGTCTTCTCCAACACCACAGTTCAAAAGCACCAATTCTTCGGTGCTCAGGTTTCTTTATAGTCCAACTCTCACATCCATACATGACTACTGGAAAAGCCAAAAGTAGTTGTGCAGTAAATGGCAGTTCTTATCACCCTGAAATCGATTTTAAAATCTGTGCTCCAGGCTATGCTTTAGGCATTATATTCTTAACTATTTTCACTCACTTGCAATTCTCCAGCATTATACTATCTCATTCCCTGATTTGTTAGTCTCACTTTCCTGATCTCTACCTTTTATGTAAACATTCTTTTTAATTAGTCTTTGAGACCCAATCCCTTTTTCTCCTATAGCTTTCTGCTTTGCAGGCAGCTGCTGAAGCGGGACACTCACAGGGCACGGGGTTAAACCTAGTCAGTCCTCCTTTTTCACAGTAGCTGGCAGCTGTCCCAACTGCCTACCAAAGCCAAATGCTTTAAGAGAGAGAGAGTGAGGAGCCAACCATGAATCCCTTCCAGAAAAACGAATCCAAAGAAACCCTTTTTTTGCCTGTCTCCACTGAAGAGGTGCCACCTCAATCCTCCAACTTTCCAAAGAAACCATCTCCGGTGAGTCCTGGGATTCATCTCTGCCTCTGACAGTGTTATGCCCGATGTCCGAATCCCCGAGCGGGAAGAGAGAAGGCTTCCAAGACAATGCAACTGGCAAAAAAAGGGAAGTTTATTGCTGCCTCGAGTCAGGGCTCCCGCTGCGCGTCCAACGCAGTGGTACAGGGTCAGAGAGCGCTGAGCTCAAGCTGTTACCCAATTTTTAAGGTGTGCATAAGCAGTTGGTAGCTGGCTTAAGCGGATTGGTTACATGTTTGCAAAGTAATCTTATTGGCCCAAACCTTCACGGGCTTTTTTCAAACTTGGGCATTCGCGGGCTTTTCAGCTTTCCCCTGATAGGTTCCCTTTTTCTTGCTAGGCGCATGTTGATTGGCTGGCTCCAGGTTACCTGATGGGGGCGGGGAATCCCACCATTTCAGGGGAAACCGAAACCCAGGTCCGGGCCGCCTGCCAGCCCCAGAAGCCCCACAATAGGAAAAGACTTACTCTGTTGGTTCTCCTGCTTGGCCCCTGCAGCTTCAGGTGGAGCTGTATTAAATATTAAAAACTTTTCTCTCTTGGAGTTAGACTGAACCTGTAAACCAGATCTAAACAGGACTTTCTTTTAACTTAGGAGAAGAAGCAGCAACAGGAGGTGGTCAGAGTTCTTCAGTGGGTGTCCAGGACTTGGCTGTATTTCATTGTACATTCTGAGTTTCTAAGAAAAAACAATTTGCATGTCCAGGGAAATTTGGCAAGTACTCCTTTCTGGAGAACTGTGTGTGATTGTTCTTTCTTTACCAAAAAAACCTCCAAAACTTCAGCCTTTAGTTTCCCATGTACACAGAGTCTATGCTGGACACCAAGAGAAGTTTTAGAATAGATCTGACCTCTTTTACTGTGTTCCAGTGTACAGTAGGCAAAAGGAAAGAGAAACAAGGAAGTAACAACGTTTTACTTTATACACTTGGGATTTAATCCTCATAGCAAAATCCTGTAAGAAGAGAGCCTACAGCAAGTATTATTAAGTTCTTACTACAAGCAAAGAAGTAGTATTAAGTAGTATCCTAGATATGGTAGTTCTTTGGAATAACAAAACTAAAATAGAAAGGCAGGTGTAGTGACAATGACTGGATCAGTATCTGAGTACCACCAGTGACAGTGTTACATAGCTAGTAGAAGCGTGTTAAGTAAACTTCAGGTTGAATGATTCTTAAAGCTGTGAACTGGAAAAATAAAAAGACTATTCATTATGTCTTTCAAGCAAGTTTTTATTATATATTAATATATATTCATATTTTGAGGGTTGTTTATATATCCATATGGATAAAAGAATGAGTACATTAATATATCATTTATTTAGTCATATATCTTCTGGTCCCAGAGAATTTAAGGCTGCTTACAAAGATGTATGTACATATACATCTTATACATTACTTATATATACATATATATACATACATCTTATGTATATGAAAAAGCAATTTTAAAAAAATCTCATGATAAGATTCAGTTGAACCAAGGACACATACCTCCATCTCTCTCTCATATTGGTTGGACTATCGTAATGGGTAAGGATTTGAAATAAAACATGATATTCCTTTTATTCTGACTGATACAGTGCATTGAATAGCATAGTCCTTTTAATGCCCAAAAGGATTAGTGTGAAAATGTTACAGAATCTCTACTTCATAGAAAGAATGGACATTTAATTTGACAGGATTTAGGAATTCTCTGCCCAAGGTCAAGGTCATCTTACCTTTAGGAATCTGTGTTGGATTCTGTGCCCGGCAGGAAGTCTTCATATTGCTAAGATTCTTCCCAGCACAATGAATGTGCAAGTGGGGACAGAAAGATTAATCTATACAGTGGAGCTAAGCAGGGTACTGACATCTGAGTTGTAACTACCTGGACATCACGTGATCTAGAGGCCAACTCTTTGTTATGTTCCTAGAAGTAAGGATGATTATTCTCTTGCCCGGTACCCCAGGCTTTCCATTTAGTGCTGTGGAAAGATGAACAGGTCCTGGTGTCTAGTATCAAGAAATGCCTGAGCAGTTCCATATTAAGTGAATGATGGACAAAGGGATATTCAGAATGGGTTCTCTGACTGCTAAATCAGCAATGCAAGCACTTTTAGTATGATACTGACTGTTTCATGAAGAGTAGGGACCATTGCTTCACATGACCTATCATGGTGACTTAAATGGGTTTTTTTTTTCTGTTGTGAAACAGTATAATGGTCTAAATAGGGAAATGTTCATGCTTGAGCCAGTGTCTTTTTGTTTCCTAGAAAATCTGTGGCTCCAACTATCCACTGAGTATTGTCTTCGTTGTGGTGAATGAATTCTGTGAGCGCTTTTCCTATTATGGCATGAAAGGTAATTTTGTGTCCCCAAGTCCTACTTTTCTCCACTCATTCTCACCCCATGTTTGTAACAACCTGTATTATATGCACTTATTTCCCTTATCTATTCTTTCTGCCTTCATCCAGTTTGTCCTTTCCTTTGGTGAAGATGTCCCCAGAAATACCTGATGGGATTTCACCTACTAACTCATAAAGACCAAAAACAGAAAGGAGTATTAGAAACCAGAATACAGCCTATGAGAATATAAGTGGAAAAACTCTCACCAATGGCATTCCATTCTTTATTTCTGTTCTTCAGGCCTATGGATTATACTGATGCTGGGAAGGAGAGTGGTGGTTTAGTCACTAAGTCGTGTCGGATTCTTGGGGGAAGAAAACGGAAGGGATATTAGAAGCACCATGTTACCTTTTAGATTGACCTAAATGATGGTATACACACAAAGACTGAAGGCAGTATTGCGTTTGTAGACTAAGCATAGCCCCTTTTACTCCACAACTCCCAAGGGCCCTTCTACTGGCCAACAGTCACTGCTCAGTTGCTTCACTGATTGGACTGCTGAAGGTCAAGATCAACTTCAAAGACCTTATCAAACGTTCTTTTTCCTCCATAAATATTTTAATGCATCTATTTTGTTTTGGCTCGCTCTCTCCCCCCCTTTCTTTTTTTGCTTAGCTGTGCTGACCCTGTATTTCCTGTATTACCTGCACTGGAGTGAAGACACTTCCACGTCTGTGTACCACGCCTTCAGCAGCCTCTGTTATTTCATTCCTATCTTGGGAGCAGCCATTATTGACTCATGGTTGGGAAAATTCAAGTAAGGATGATGGGAGGTCACATTTCCAAGAAGTTTCATCAATTAATCACGCAGAGACTATCACTTCTAGCCTCTTGCTTCCAAGAATATACTTGTGTCATCCATGACAAATAAGAATCTCTGTCAGACTGACAATACAGAAAGATTTTGTCTCTTCATAATCAGTGTTTCTAATATTTTTATGCCCTTTTCAGTAAGGAGGGGTTTTTTCTTGTATCTAATTTTAACCTCCCATTCTGAAGTTTAAGACCAACTCTTGTTCTGATCTCAGGTGACAGAGATAGTTGACAGCAAAATGTAAAATTCAATGTATTAATAGTAATTTGATATACTATCCATCTCTCCTCCATATTGAATCATTTCAACCTTTTTAGTATCTTCATATAAGTCCCTCTTTGTAGCTCTTTTACCATCTCTGTTTCTCTTTTCTGACTTCCTTCTATAGTTTCTTTCTTAAGAATATAATAAATATTTTCATGAGTTAGACTAATGGTCTATTCATTTCAATATATTTTAAGTCTCTGAAAATAGTACCAAGAGATGTTTGGGGATAATGTTATAGTTGTCCCCTATAACATCATCCTCATGGACCAGGGATGGATTTCAGGTATCCATCAGTCAGATATTTTCTATGGAGTTGTCATCTATGGAATCATCTAAATTAGCATTTCTCAAAGTCCATTTTGTTGAAAATTGGTTGTATAGGATCTGATGAATGATATGTAGGGACATAAAACTCTCATAGTCAAATACGTTTGGGAAAATGTTAGGTTGAATAAAGCTAAAAAGTATCTTTACTGCATGATTTCTTGTAGCCTTGAGCTTACTAATTAATATCAAAAATTTCTGAGAGAAAATCAATTTGCATTTCTCAGATAATCATTTTTTCCTCCAACTCTTCCTCCTCCTGCTTCATGTATCCTGGCACTAAGAACAGTATAAATTCTGAGTCTGTATTACTCAAGTATCTGAATTCTATTTGTAGACTGATTGATTTAACTCTTTCAACAGGACAATCATCTGTCTCTCCTTGGTGTATGTGCTTGGCCATGTGATCAAGTCTATGAGTGCCTTACCAATACTGGGGGGACAAAACTTACACGTGAGTAAAATCATGGAATAAAAACTGAACGACTTTTTCTCCACTGGACAGGTAAATGTCTCATGTGTTCATTATAGATGTTTCTCTATCTTGTTACCAGAGATGTCCCTTTATTTCTAACATACTGTTTTATTACCAAACTGATTAAGAAAAAAAATTGATCAGTTGAACTCTTTCCTGCGTTATCTGAGCTCATTTGTTTTTATTAAATATTTGGGGACTTGTAGGATGCCCAGTTAGTATCCTTTCCATGAAAACTATTCATATGCTTGAAGACATGAAAACTTTCATGTCCTCCATATTCCCTCACCTATTCACCCACCCACACTTTGTACTTTGAGACAGTCAAAAAAATATGCCTGTGATACTTACTTATAATATAGTGTAGAATTCACATTCAAAGCTCAGATTATTTCCATTTCTGTGTAATCCATATATTCCAGTTGCTCTGTTCTCTTTATTAAGCTATTGATGCTTATGATTCCCAACTCTTGATGGGTTCTGATTTCTGTTGGTTCAGTTAGTAGAGAGAATTAGACTTGTCCAAGAATCAGATAATATGTATTCTTGTTTATCATATGCCTATATGTATATTTTCCAATGAGTTAACAATTTTGTTTGAGATTTAATGGATATTAGATACCTTATTATTGTTGTCCCATCAGAAATCACTGACATTTCTCCTATTAGTTATGACTAACTTAAAATTTTATTTTGTGGTTACTAAGAATATGTGGGATAAAAGTTCACAAGGACTTTCTATTGAAGTGTCCCTTTGACTATAATGAAACTGAGAACCAGTGCCTTAACTCTGGAGTTCCTTGAGTATCTGCTTCTATATGTTGCACTCATGGGGTAAATGAAACTATCAGGGACAAAATCTTCCCATGTAATGATACTTTCTGGCAGAAACTCAAGGTTTATGGAGACTGTAAATGCTCCAGAGTCTCTCCTAGGAGGAAGCCATTGGTAAGTGCCCACAATATAGAAAAGTGAAGGAGGTCGTGCCCTTGTACAAGTATTTTTTCTCTTATAGCTCTATATTCCATTTCTACAGTTGTGTTTAGTATCAGTATGGTTAGTACTCTCACCTTTCCATTTCAGAGTCCTGTCAATGGTTGGCCTGAGTCTAATAGCTTTGGGGACAGGAGGTATCAAACCCTGTGTGGCAGCTTTTGCTGGAGACCAGTTTGAAGAAAAACATGTAAGAGTCCTATCATTTCTATGTTTTAAAAAAAGTAAAGCAGGCACTAAACAACAGGTAGCCATTTGCCAAAAATGAAGTAATCCACTATCAGATTATATCTGAAGAGTTGTGTTCAGTGCTGGGTACTGGTCATTAATAGAGAGAAAAACGGACACATTTCAAAGGAAAGTGACCAAGGTGGCAAGTGGACTAAAAGGTGTATCTTATGAGGAAAGGTTGAGGGAAAAGGAGATATTTAGCCCAGATAAGATAAGATTAAAGAGGATATTATAGCTGTCTATAGATATTGGAAGGATGTCAGGAATTAATCCAAAGATCAATAAGAGAAAGCTATAGAAAATCAGGTTTTTGCTTGATGGAAAGAAAAACTTCAAATAGCTACACGTAGTGAGTTTACTCTCACTTGAGGTATTTTAGAAGTTACATGGTCATCACTTTGGGAATGAGAGGTGATGAGTAGTGTGGAGATGATTTAAGCATCTCTAGCTTCAGGATTCTATGAAAGGGGAAAATGACCATTTGGGATAAAACAGAATGAGTTTCTCTAGATGAACATGTCTGGATGATCATTTCTTCTTTTCCTAAATACTTTCCAATGTCATTGGGGAAAAAGCAGTATGAATAAATGTAAAAATGGGTCTGTTAAGGAAGCAGTGACAACCAGACAAGGGAAGTAGTCTATTCTTGGATCAGACAACATTTCTAACTTCTTTTTACCTCTGTTTTCCTTTTTTATTCTCTTCATGTATTGTTTCCTCTTCTATAGCTATTTATCATGTATCTGTTTTTCTGTTCTTTCTCTGTGATTTGTCCTCCTTCTTTCCTCTAACCCATCAGAACATTTGAGTTATTTTATATTCTTCATCTGCCTGAGGGTCCATAGAATATAACTGCTTGCTAACCTTGGAGAAATAACCAGCCTCTGGCAAGTGGGATTCTATGCATAATGAACTATACACATGGGTGAGTAGAACAGATTTAAGTGGGGACCAGAAGAGGAAGCAGAATACACCATGTATAGAAAATGGAGATTGTGTTGGTGTGTCAGGGAGAGATATGGGAAGTCAGAATGAAGCACTGCTGCTGCTAAGTCGCTTCAGTCATGTCTGACTCAGTGGGACTCCATAGATGGCAGCCCACCAGGCTCTGCCATCCCTGGGGTTCTCAAGGCAAGAACACTGGAGTGGGTTGCCATTTCCTTCTCCAATGCATGAAAGTGAAAAGTGAAAATGAAGTCGTTCAGTCGTGTCCGACTCTTCGCGACCCCATGGACTGCAGCTTACCAGGCTCCTCCCTCTATGGGATTTTCCAGGCAAGAGTACCGGAGTGGGTTGCCATTGCCTTCTCCAGCACAGAAGGGCATAATAAATAAAGGGTCAACAACTTTATTTGAAAGTTACTTAATTTTGTAAGCGCTTGACAAAGATATTCCAGAAATAGGACAAACCCACCTTCAAGTTTCCACCAGTCATTTCCAAGCCCACAGACTTCCTTTTCTACTCTCTGGCAGACTTCCCATAAGCATTAGGAAAATTATCCTGTTTGATCAACAGTTTACTAGAACCATGGTCTAGTCCTATTCCTACCACACATTCCACAAAATCTATTTAATTTTTATCTCAGTTATTCATTCACTTAATTCCATTAAAAAACATTTACTGATTCTGTAACTCTGGGAGTTGGTGTTGGACAGGGAGGCCTAATATGCAGCAGTCCATGGGGTCACAAAGAGTCGGACACAACTGAGTGACTGAACTGAACTGAAGTGAGTCTGTAATATAAATCAGGTGCTATAGTAGTAATGATAGTAATGATAGAGATTACAGAAAATAGTAAGATGCAACTTAACCTCAACCTACTGAAAGAAACAGACATTTAATGCAAGGAAACTAATATTAGAATAAATATATATATATAACACAATGCATAGATATAGTGTACAATAGGACTTCCCTGGTGGCTCAGATGGTGAAGAATCTGCCTGGAATGCAGGAGATCCGGGTTTGATCCCTGGATTGGGAAGATCCCCTAGAGAAGGAAATGGCAATCCACTCCCATGTTCTTGCCTGGAGAATTCCATGGACAGAGAAGCCTGGTGGGCTATATGTAGTTCATGGAGTCGCAAAGAGTCAGACACAACTGAGCTACTGATGCTGTCACTCACTTTCATACAAGATAACCGTTTTTGCCAAGATAAAGTGATAAAAAATATTAAAGATGCTTGCGTGTACTAGTGTTTGAAAGATAGGGAAATATTTGTCTGCGGTCAGCAAGATATATTTTAAGATATCTAATATGATAGTCACAAACCATGGAGGCAGTATCTGAATCAGTGTATGTACCTCTCACTTAGTCTGAACATGAGGTGGGGGTGGACCGAGTAGGCACATTGAACTGATGATTTGTCCTTTTTGTTTATTTATTTTTTCAGGCAGAGGAACGGACTAGATACTTCTCAGTCTTCTACCTTGCCATCAATGCAGGGAGCTTGATTTCTACATTTGTCACACCCATGCTGAGAGGTTGGGATCTTTTCTGAGGACCTCTGTATAAGCTTTATTCTGGCCAGCCAGAAATCTGTTCAAGGCTTCTTACTGTCCATCCTCTTTTATGAGGGCTTGAAAATCTGAGTGTATTTCTTTTAATCTTGAATTATCTACCCTAAAAGAAGGATTATAGATTAGGTGATGGGAGGAAAGAGGATGGCTATGTCTATTACCTCAAAAACCTGAGCTTATAGAATAGAACATCAAAGACTTAAGATTCAGGAATAATTTGGCTTTGTTTTTCCTGAAGGAGATGTGCAGTGTTTTGGAAAGGACTGCTATGCACTGGCATTTGGAGTTCCAGGACTGCTTATGCTGATAGCTCTTGGCAAGTGCAGTGGGGCAAGGATACTAATAACCACTGATGCCTTCCACATGGAGAGCATGATGTAAGCACTTTGCACAAACTGTTGCATTCAGTCCTCATACTAACCTATTAGAATTTTTGATGATGGTCATTATTAGGTAAAGGTTATTTTAGGGGTTTCACCTAGACATTGTAAATAAATTAACTGAGTAAAATCAGAAATCTCAAAAAAAGAATACTGAAGGTTGCATAACTATAAGTTTCCTAGAGACCTCTAAAAAGGACTGATTCTTGGATGCCATGTAGGACCAATTAAATGATGATCTCTGTAGGATACAGCTTTGGCATCTGTAAATTTTTAAGTATTTAGGTGATTCTAATTGTAGTCATGGTTGAGATGTACTGATCTATACTTCAGGATATAGTAAGCAAAGAAAATAATCCTTCCACTCAAACCAGCTTATTTTATCTGATAACTATTTATCTAGTAATTGGAAGATGTTTTAAATTCTTTGGGCCTTTTAAAGCTTCTAGATTTAGCTGTTTCTGCCCTGCTCTGCAATGCTCCCAAGAAGTTTCCTTTTGAGCAAAGAGAATAAGAGTAGTTGGATAAGTAGGGGAAACCAGTCAAAATGGCCATCAACAAAAAATCTACAAACAATAAATGCTTGAAAGGGTATGGAAAAAAGGGAACCCTTTCACACTGTTGGTGGGAATAGAAACTGATACAGCCATGAAGGGGAACAGTATGGAGGTTTCTTGAAAAACTAAAACTACCATAGGACACAGCAATCCACTACTAGGCACATACTCTGAGAAAACCACAATTCAAAAAGACACACGTACCCCAGTGTTCATTTCAGAACTATTTACAATAGCCTGGATATGAAGCAACCTAAATGTCATTGACAGATGAATGGATAAAGAAGATAAGATACATATATACAATGGAATATTACCCAGCCATAAAAAGGAAAGAAACTGGATTATTTATAGTGATGTGGATGAACTTAGAGTGTGTCACACAGCATGTAGTAAGTCAGAAAGAGAAAAACACATGTGGTATATTAATGCAATGCATATATAAAACATATATATGGAATCTAGAAAAAAAATGATACTGATGAACCTTTTTGCAGGGCAGGAATAGAGACACAGACATATAAAGTGGACTTGTGGACACAGAGGAGGAAGGAGAGGGTGGGACAAATTCAGAGAGTAGCATTGACATATATATAGACACTACCATGTATGAAATAGATAGCTAGTGGGAAGCTGCTATATAGCATAGGCAGCACAGCTCAGCCCTCTGGGATGACCTAAAAGGGTGGGAGTGGTGGGAGGGAGGCTCATGAAGGAGGGGATAAATGTATGCATATAGCTGCATCACACTGTTGTACAGCAGAAACTAACAACACTGTAAAGCAATTATACTCAAATTAAAAATAAATAAATAGGAATTGTGTAAGTAGGGGGAAACTCATGCTACATAGATCAAATGGCATTCTTTCTCTTTACCACCAAGAACCCAGCAATGCAAGAGGAAGAGGAATGTGTGTGTTGCTTAGTTTAACACAGTCTAAGGGGAAACATGGACATGATTGTTTCTAATCATTGACCTGGAGACTTGTTCTCACACTGAGCCTTTGGGTGACATCCCCCCTGGAGGATATCCAGTCCAAACACATAAAAAGCTCAATAGAGGTTAAAGGGCCCAAAAGCTCAATGTTCCATCTGATTACTTTCAACCAAGGAGGGGGCTAATAGTACTACTCAGATTGCAATTTCAATTCCAAGAAATTTATGCATTATTCTAGGAGCCCTGTGATAATATATTCTCTGTTTCCTTCTCTCTTCAAAACCAAATTATCATCCTGGTTTTCCTCTGATTAGTACTATGCCCTTTTCTTTGGATCATTGCACAATAATATTATTTACATATCAGAATAATTACGAAGATCAAAAGAAATATTATAATGGAATGTTCTATGGTTCAGATGATAAGGAGTCTGCTTGCAATGCGGGAGACCTGGGTTCAGTCCATGGGTGAGGAAGATCCTCTGGAGAAGGAAATGGCAAACCACTCCAGTATTCTTGCCTGGAAAATCCCATGGAGGGAGGAGCCTGGCAGGCTATAGTCCATGGGGTCGCAAAGAGTTAGACATGACTGAGCGGCTTCACTCACTCAAACAGGTATTAGCTGTCATTGTTAGTCAACTACTTCAGTTTTCTGGGTACTAATAAGTCAATTCTCTGACTTTTCACTATAATTTATTCATTAGATTTTTTCACTCATTAATTCATTCAACAAACATTTATTTAATGAGCCTTTATGTGTTAGATTCTGTTCTAGTTATCAGGGTCACATTGGTGAATTAGATAGCTACAGCATTCATGCTTTCAAAGAATGTATGTGGTCTAGCAGGAGGAGGGAAACAGACATGTAAACAGGAATTTTCAATATAGCATGATCACTGTCACAACTGGGGAAATACAGAGGAAGCTTTAGGAATAAATAGGAGGGATACTAAAGGCTTTGAGGCTCAGAAAAGCTTGGTCTAAAGAAATGAAATGGAAGATAAGACCTAAAGAATTAACAGCGATTAGTCACAATTAATCTGGCCATCACTAGATGGTCAACATTGAAATCAGATTGATTATATTCTTTGCAACCAAAGATGGAGAAACTCTATACAGTCAGCAAAAACAAGACCGGGAGCTGACTGTGGCTCAGATCATGAACTCCTTATTGCCAAATTCAGACTTAAATTGAAGAAAGTAGGGAAAACCACTAGACCATTCAGGTATGACCTAAATCAAATTCCTAACAATTATACGGTGGAAGTGAGAAATATTTAAGGGACTAGATCTGATAGACAGAGTGCCTGATGAACTATGGATGGAGGTTCCTGACATTGTACAGGAGACAGGAAGCAAGACCATCCCCAAGAAAAAGAAAAGCAAAAAAGCAAAATGGCTGTCTCAGGAGGCCTTACAAATAGCTGTGAAAAGAAGAGAAACCAAAAGCAAAGAAGAAAAGGAAAGATAAACCCAGTTGAATGCAGAGTTCCAAAGAATAGCAAGGAGAGATAAGAAAGCCTTCCTCAGTGATCAATGCAAAGAAATAGAGGAAAACAATAGAATGGGAAAGACTAGAGATCTCTTCAAGAATATTAAAGATACCAAGGGAACATTTCATGCAAAGATGGGCTCTATAAAGGATAGAAATGGTATGGACCTAACAGAAGCAGAACATATTAAGAAGAGGTGGCAAGAATACACAGAAAAATGTAAAAAAAAGATCTTCATGACCCAGATAATCACAATGGTGTGATCACTCACTTAGAGCCAGACATCCTGGAATGTGAAGTCAAGTGGGTCTTAGGAAGCATCACTATGAACAAAGCTAGTGGAGGTGATGGAATTCCAGTTGAGCTCTTTAAAATCCTCAAAGATGATGCTGTGAAAGTGCTCCACTCAGTATGCCAGCAACTTTGGAAAACTCAGCAGTGGCCACAGGACTCAAAAAGGTCGGTTTTGATTCCAATCCCAAAGAAAGGCAATGCCAAAGAATGCTCAAACTACCAAATAATTGCACTCATCTCACACACTAGTAAAGTAATGCTCAAAATTCTCCAAGCCAGGCTTCAACAATACGTGAACCATGAATTTCAGATGTTTATGCTGGTTTTAGAAAAGGCAGAGGAATGAGAGATCAAATTGCCAACATCTGCTGGGTCATCGAAAAAGCATGACTGTTCCAGAAAAACATCTATTTCTGCTTTACTGACTATGCCAAAGCCTTTGACTGCATTGATCACTATAAACTGAAAATCCCAAAAGAGAACGGAAAACCAGACCCCCTGACCTGCCTCTTGAGAAATCTGTATGAAGGTCAGGAAGCAACAGTTAGAACTGGACAGGGGACAACAGACTGGTTCCAAATAGGAAAAGGAATACATCAAGGCTGTATATTGTCACCCTGCTTATTTAACTTATATGCAGTGTACCTCATGAAAAATGATGGCCTGGATGAAGCACAAGCTAGAATCAAGAAATATCAATAACCTCAGATATGCAGATGACACTACCCTATGGCAGAAAGTGAAGAAGAACTAAAGAGCCTCTTGATGAAAGTGAAAGAGGAGAGTGAAAAGTTGGCTTAAAGCTCAACATTCAAAAATCTAGGATCATGGCATCCAGTCCCATCACTTCATGGCAAATAGATGGAGAAACAGTGGATATGGTGGCAGACTTTATTTGGGCTCCAAAATCACCGCAGATGGTGACTGCAACCATGAAATAAAAAGACGCTACTCCTTAGAAGAAAAGTTATGACCAACCTAGATAGCATATTAAGAAGCAGAGACATTACTTTGCCAACAAAGGTCCATCTAGTCAAGGCTATGGTGTTTCCATTAGTCATGTATGGATGTGAGAGTTGGACTATAAAGAAAGCTGAGTGCCAAAGAATTGATGCTTTTGAACTGTGGTGTTGCAGAAGACTCTTGAGAGTCCATTGGATTGCAAGGACATCCAACCAGTCCATCCTAAAGAAAATCAATCCTGAATATTCATTGGAAAGACTGATGTTGAAGCTGAAACTCCAATACTTTGGCCATCTTATGCAAAGAGCTGCCTCATTTGAAAAGATCCCAATGCTGGGAAAGATTGATGGTGAGAGGAAAAGGGGACGACAGAGAATGAGATGGTTGGATGACATCACTGACTCAATGGACATGAGCTTGAGTAAACGCCGGGAGTTGGTGATAGACAGGGAGGCCTGGTGTGTTGCAGTCCATGGGGTTGCAAAGAGTTGGACATGACTGAGCAACTGAACTGAACTGAACTGAATCACAGAAGAGATTGCAAGTGAAACAGAAATAGGACTTGGTATCTATAAGACAAGGGGTTGAAATATAGTATGATATATTTGAAGTCCTTGAAGGAATTCAAATTGCCTACAGCATAAATGAGAAAGATAAAGAGGAGAAATTAACAGAAACCAGATAATGAAAGGCTTTTAACTTATTAAGGAATTAGAACTTTATCAGGAGAATAGTAGAGAGCTTCAAAAGGATTTTGAATAGAGGAATGATTGTTAGATGTTTATTTTTCAGTGGTATCTCTGACTGTAATATGGAGAAAGAATGGGCTAAGGGTAAGATAAGGATACCCTGTCTTGATTACTGAATTTTTGGTCCTCCTTAAATTTTTACTGAAAGTGAGTGCCTCCATTAGCTCACCTTCCTCAGCCCTGACAGAACTGACAAACTTGATATGTTACATCATGTAAAAGAAAGGGAAAGGATAAGTCAAGATTGAATATAGGGTTCTGATTTGAGTAAATAAGGGAGAATAGGTATGGGGGCTATACTAATGAATTTAGTTTGGGGAATGTTCCATTCTAGATGTCCTTAGACCATATAATTAGGAGTATCAAACATTTATTGGAAATGCCTTTTTAAAATTCAAGAGAAATTTTTAAGCTATAAAAAGTTGGGACTATTAGTGTATGGATATCAGTTAAGCATGAAAATAAATGGAATAACTAAGAGATAATAAGAGTAGGATAGACAGCAAGGATAGGACCCTGAGGAACCCAGGTATTTAAAAGACAAGCAAATGAGCTAGGCACTATGTTGTTCTGGTAAAGATACAGAAAAGTGAACAATTAAGTTTTATTCACTTGATAAATGCAGAAATAAACATATCTAAAAGGAGGTGCAGCAAAGGTACAAGTAATTATTCAAATAAAGATTCACTAAAGAAAAGTTGGGGAAGGGCTGTCCAGGTAGGGAAAAAACTGCAAATGGAGAGGCAGAAAACAGAACCTGTTATTTTAAGAACCACTGTGATTTCAATAATGCCAGAATCAAATCTCTAGGGGACAACCTCTATGACATAAATCTTTAGAATAATATTTCCATTTGTATGGGAATGAGTCTTAATGTAGTGAAAATTTAATGTTGATTATTTTCTCCAGTATTTAGATTGTCAAGTCTTTGATATGTGTTTATATTATATGTATTATATTAAATTAAATAAATTTAAATATTAAATTAAATATTAAATATGTATTATATTAAATGAGATTATTCAGTATTAAGCATACCTTTATACAAGTCAGCCATTACTTATAAGCTGTTGTATTTCCTTTACAACAAAAATGTGTTGAGTGAAATTTTGTGTTTGAATTAGGTAAAGGGTTAAAAAAAAAAAAGGCAAGCAAAGAGGAAAAACCCATAAATAAGACTAGGAAAAAATGGCCAAAATGATAGTAGTTTTACCTTGGATAACAAGATTTCAAGAAGGGAATCATTCAGAATAACAAATGTTACTGACTGGGAAAGCAAGATAATGCTTTCCCAGCTTTAATGTCTATTAAATATAGGGACACAAAGATCATTGATTTCATGATATCAGTTATGGTAGATTGGTGGAGATTCAAGACTAATTAAAGCAGATTGGGAAGTGAATAGAGAGATGAAAGGGAAGATAGTAAGTATTTATAATTGAAAGTGACATGAAGTCAGGAGAGGATATTGAGAATGCTTGAATATTATTAGAAATACTCCAGTGAAGAAAGATGTTGAAGATGTAAGATAAGACAGTATAACCAGTATGAAAGCACACATGGCGCAATTGCCTTTATACAGGAGGAGGAACATCACCTTCAGCTAACTAGAGAGAGGAAGGAATAGATGTGAAAACAGAAATTAATAGATGTGGTGGCAAGAAGCTGAGGGAGTTTACATTTGAAGCCTTCTATTTTGTTTGTGACGTAAGAGGCAACAATGTCCACTCATGGGAGGAGATGGTAAAGAAACTCAAGGTCCCTATTTACCTTCTTTAGTTAAGTGGTCTTGAAATTTAAGTGTGACCTTGTCAAGGTCTTCTTTTTATCACTCCATTGTCACTTTTTAGACCAGAATTCCTGAGAATTTCAGCCCCTTTTTAGGATCATTCTTAGTTTCAAGAGCAGTCTACTTCCTGTCCATTAACTTCCGCTTGTCTAGATACCTCTTTATCTGCCGACATGTCTCACAGGATTAGAATTCTTTCTCAGAACTATTTTTCCTATCAACAATAAGAAGAGTGTGGTAGGTAAAGCACACTATTTGGGGAAGTTTGGTGAAACTGAGAGGATGAATAAAGTAAAAGTGGTATAGTGAATCTGACTGAGGTGACTGGAGAAATTAAAAAGTTGAGATAGAGAAAAGTAAAGTGATTCAGGCCTTCTAGATGTAAGGATATTGGAAATTGCTACTGGTCACTGAGGAAGGCATCTTTGGTAGAGTAGCTGCTAGAGAGGCATCTTGCTGGAGCTGGGAAATCCATTCAGGAGGAAAGTACATCGGAGATGGTACCATGGTGGAGTTTTCCCACAGATTTTACTTAAAATTGATAAACGTGAAGAAAATTATTTTTTTATAATTGTAAAAGTAATTTCTCATTTTGGCAATTTGGAAAATAAAGGAGAAATTAAGAAAATTAAATTCATCTATAGATAGCTTTGGAGATGTGATTAAGGATGAGGGTTAAAGGAAAGAGAATAAGCTCAAGAGCAGAAATAAAACAGAATTGTTAGTAGGAATGATGAATAGTACCAAATGGAGAATACCAAATGGAGAGTAATGAGGGAAAAGCGGGAAGTGGTAAGTTGAGAGGAGCTCCATGGCAGACAGGGTCACGTCTTTTTATATCTTTATTCTCTGTAGTATCCAGCAAAGGGCTCACCCAGTGGCTCAGTGGTAAAGAATCCACCCATAAAGTAGGAGATACAGGTTGGATCCCTGGGTCGGAAAGATCCCCTGGAGGAGGAAGTGGCAACCCACTCCAGTATTCTTGCCTGAGAAATCTCAGAGGAGCCTGGTGGGCTACAGTCCATGGAGTCACAAATGAGTCAGACACGACTGACTGACTGACTGACTAAACAACATAAAGTGTCCAGCAAAGTATGTGATGCAAGAATGAATGACTGACGTGCTTTATGTTGGTTAAATAAATTTTTGAGGCAACAGGCCTAAGGTCAAAAATGCAGTTTCTGGCACTTCACAGTTGTGAAATTTTGTAGAAATTGCTTGACTTCTTTAATCCTTGATTTTTTCATGTGTAAAATCCTTGTCAGGTTAAATCAGTACTATTACGTAAAGTGCTTAACACTTTACATATATAATAATAAACCTTCAAGAGATTGTTAATGATAATAATAACCATCAAGATAATAATGAATTTGGGAAGGCCTTCCATATCAGAAGTTTGGGCTTACTAGATAGGTCTTGGAAACAACATTTTAATTTGGCAACAGATTAGAAAAAGGAGAAGCAAACAGGGATTGAGAAACTAGTTGGTGGCCATTTTGAAAATTCAGGGTAGAAGTTGTGAGGTTCAAAATGAGTCATAGTCCTGGTGATGCAGAAGAGGGGCAGGCAGGAAATACACTCAAAAGAGAGGGTCGGTGAAAGTTCGTAGTGTATCAGATGTAGAGATGGAGAAGAATAGTGTGAATTCAGAGGTGATTTTCACTTCTGTCATTACAGGAAAGTCTGCACATTGACCATTTAATTTTTCTCTTGCTCCCATAGTTTTTATGACTCCAAAGTCAGGGAACATCCATCAGTTTCCACCCTTTATGAAATGTGTCAATCATTCCTACATTTCAGCAGTGTGTCCTTTGTGTTGACAACTAAATGTGCTAAATGAGAAGCTAAGAACTTTGTTTATCTACTGCAGTTGTGTTTGCAGTGGGAAGTAAACTATACAGAAAACCACCTCCTGAAGGAAACATACTGAATCAAGTGGTCAAATGTATCTGGGTAAGTTCATGAATTGTTTGCCTACCTTTTTCAATTGCAAGAAAAGAAATGCTGTTCTGAGCCTATAGGCCTTCAAACATTGGTGTACACTTTTCTCAGTGACCTCTGCACTGCTTCTGTGACTTCTGGAAAGTGGGATTGATCAAACTTCACTTGATGCCTCTATTTAACCTTTAAGCTAAAAATAATATAATCATTTTTAAAAACTGGCAAAAGCTTTCTGAAATGTAGTCATATATGTTGAAATTGTATTTCAAATATTCTGAAATTCAATGTGTGATGAAATTAAAAGGTAAGATTAAGTCACTCAAGAGTATGTGTGTTTAAGGGAAGTTACAGTGAAATGGAGAAGGCAGGGGATGGGTCTTCTGATATCTATGCTCTGCCCTAGTTTGCTATTTCCAGCCATTTCAAGAACCATTCTGGGGACAATCCTAAGAAAGAGCACTGGCTGGACTGGGCAGCTGAGAAATACCCAGTAAGTTGAACTGCAGAAACATCTGATGCCTCCATAGAGTTTTTCCTAATAACCAAACTGATTCCCTCCTGCTGTATTTGACCTCCTCTCTTACTGTTCTGGGCCATTTCTGCTCCAAGCAAGAAATCTTAACTGCCAATTCAGCCTATTCCTTCTTCCTCCTCTTTGCAGAAGTGGCTCATTATGGATGTAAAGGCACTGACCAGGGTAGTGTTCCTTTATATTCCATTGCCCATGTTCTGGGCACTTTCGGATCAGCAGGTAAGAATAGTTCTTTTGAAAACTACCTCTTCTTCCAGCCCCTTCTCTCTCAAAGGAAAGGGATTTCCTCTAATAGCATATGTTTGCCATAGGGCTCACGATGGACCTTGCAAGCCTCCAGGATGAATGGGAATTTGGTGAGTAGAAGAGACTTTTCCAGTCTATCATTTTCTTTTTAATCCACACTAAGGAAAAATTTCTTTATGTTTTTGCCTGAAAAGTGACATAAAATTATAAGAGATGCCGTTAGCATGAAGATACTGAGTAGGCAGACAAAGTAAAGAGAGTCTGGAAATAAAAGAATCTTATCTTTAGAAATCAGAAATATAAGGATGGAAAGTTTTCAGTGTATACAGGAAGCATTGCAAGGATAGCAAATGAAGTGGTAAAGCCTGGGCATGGATATTTTCTTTTATCTAAGCCTGACCAGGGCACAGCAGGTTTTATTGCTGCTACAACACAACTAGTTGGACAGTAAAGAAGTCTGAGTGACAAAGAATTGATGCTTTCGAATTGTGGTGCTGGAGAAGATTCTTGAGAGGCTCTTGGGCTGCAAGGAGATCAATTCTTAAAGGAAATCAACACTGAATATTCATTGGAAGGACTGTTGCTGAAGCTGAAGCTCCAATACTTTGCCCATTTAATACAAAGAGCCAAGTTCTTGGAAAAGACCCTGATGCTGGGAAAGTTTGAAGGCAAAAGAAGAAGAGAATGGGGCAGAGGATGAAATGGTTAGATAGCATCACCAACCCAACAGGCAAGAATTTGAGCAAACTCTGGGAGATAGAGGTCAGAGGAGCCAAGCATGCTGCTGTCCACTAGGTGACAGAGTTGGACACGACTTAGTGACTGAACAAGAACACAACACAATTGACCCATCTCAGGCAGGGCTCACAACAGAGGATCCAGAGGCGGTATTTTGTACATAGATACAGAAATAATGGAAAATTTTTAAACATGATTTTTTATTTTTCTAATTTCCATACATTGACAAACTCTTCCGTCATTTGTTCCCACTGTCTAGGTTATTGTATGTTCTCCTGCCATCTCAGTTATGAAGAGGGCAGAGAGGAATAACACCAGGGTTGTATCAGCTGGTCTGTTTGAAGCTTCCTTAATATAATTTCACCTTTTCCCTTCCTCTGACTGTCCAGGACTTACCTGGTTGTCTTCTTTTTTGACCCTCTGGAGAACAACTTTAGAAACACTTTGTCAATGGGAGACGTCACCCTAACCATCATACTTTTCTGTCCTTCACATTATTACCACCTATGACTGCAGTTGCTGGGATTAATAAAAACACACTGACTCTAGTCTCTTTCAAGTTAAAGAAAGCATAGCTCACAGAAAATAAGATTCTCCCTTAGGCCCATCTGCCTTCAGAAGCCATAGCCTAAAGCCATCTCTAGCCTATTCCCCCACATTCCCTTACAAGGATAATAGTGGTCCTGAACAAAAGACCTGATGGGTCTTTTGTTACCTTATGCTTCTCATCTGCTAATTATCAATATTGTTGATTTTGTTGATTAGACTTTGTTTGTCTTTAGGCCATCATCTTAATGTGATTCGTTATCATGTTTCAGGGTTTTTTCGTGCTTCAGCCTGACCAGATACAGGTAAGAGACTTCTCTATATTCCCAGGTACTTATTTCTTCCCTCATCTATAACTCGACATTTAGTAGGAGGGTTACCAACCATAATTGGTTTTTTTCCTTGTATGCTGAGGAGGGCTAAACATAGGGATGAAAATATTCTTAAGCCCCACACTTCTCTTTCACATTCTCTGTTAGTAAGTAGCTCCTACTCAACTCCAGGGAGACTGAGTTTTGAGCTCACAAGGAAAGTGTAAACATTGGATTTATTTCCAGGTCAAGTATCATGGAAATATTGTCAAAGAAAGTGTACAACTTAGTTGTGTGAGCAACAAATTCAGAGTCTCTGCTTGTTGGTGACTCCTAGTTATTTTTTAACTGCTTCTTCAACAATCCCCAATCCTTCTTTCTTTCCTTCCTTTCTCCTGACTATGACATTTTCCTCTTGGTTGTGGAACTGGAGGAGATAAATGAAATGGGAGGGAAGAGCTCCTCATCAATTGATAGAAAAACAGGTTTAGGGTGAAACTGGTTCCTTGGGATATTTGGAAGCTAATGTGCTATGCACAGGAAATAGAGTCTTGGGTGTAAAGGGGCTGAACAACGTGGAGTCATTCTGTACATCATAGATGAAAGTGTGTTTGGATGTGAGAGAGTGTGCACACATGCGAATGAGAGCACGTGCTCACACTCATAATAGAAAAACACTTGGAACTAATGTTTTTACCATGGCATTACAGGTGCTAAATCCCTTTTTGATTGTTATTTTCATCCCACTGTTTGACCTTGTCATTTATCGTCTGGTCTCCAAGTGTGGCATGAACTTCATGTAAGTGCTCACTGTGCCTTTGTTGCTCCAGCCTGACTCAATATTTGTCCAGTTTAATAAAGAGTCAGTATCTTTCCTGCTTAGTGATGATTTGTTTTGATTTATCATTTTTCTGCTTCTGTTTATCCATGATAGATTAAATACCTATTAATGCTAGAGAACAGGGTTTCTCTGATGGCTCAGCAGGTAAAGAGTTTGCCTGCATGGAGGAGATACAGGAGCTGTGGGTTCGATTCCTGGGAGAAGAAGATCCCCTGGAGAAGGAAATGGCAACTCACTCCAGTAGTTCTTGCCTGAAAAATCCCATGGCGGGCTACAGTCCATGGGGTTGCAAAGAGTTGGACGTGACTGAGTGACTAAGCACAACAACAATACTGGAGAACAGGCATTAGATCTAATTAATACTTGTCACAGAGAGTCCAATCCATTACTGCAGACTTACATACTTGATGTTGAAGAATTAGGGCAATACTTTATGAAAAGTCAAAAATATATGAGATTAGGCCCCTAAACCAGCTTGTTGCTTTGTTCTTGAAAGTTGCCTCTTCAAAGAAGTCCAAAGCCTTTGGTGAAAACTAATCGCCTTAAATCTCCTACTGTCCCTATGAAACAAATGAGGGACCTCAGAAGAGGACAGAATTGTCCCTAATTACTGCTTTCCCCCTATTCTAAACAGAAGTATTATTCTTTGGAAAGTTTGACAGAGGAGGATCTTAAGTCTTCTATATTTTCTGATTTAATAGCAATTTCCTTTTGATAGCCACTTACCATATTCAAATGACCTTTTGTCATTTACTCATTCATTGAGTAGTTTATTGAGTTCAATACCAAGTGCTATGGAAATGTAGAAGCACAAATTTTGCTCCTTATGAATTTACTTTTTAGTAAGGGAGCTAGAAAATATGCAAGGTTAATTATTGAAAATGATGAATTATGTTAAGTGCTCTAAGAATGGAAACAAAGTGCCAGGGAAATGAAGAGATGGAAGAGAGTGGCCAGGGTCAAGAAAGTCTTCTGCAGAAGAGGAAAAGAAGATAATACAGTGACAAAGTTAAGTCACTCAGTCGTGTCTGACTCTTAGTGACCCCATTGACTGCAGCCCACCAGGCTCCTCCGTCCATGGGATTTTCCAGGCAAGAGTACTGGAGTGGAGTGCCATTGCCTTCTCCATATACAGTGACAGGTATATGGTGAATGTTCAATGAATCTGGTTATATTACTATTATTTTTGTAATTATGACACAGTGGATAGAAAAACAATCATAAACAAAGAGGGAAAAATTGGTGTGTTACAAAGAACAGTTCAGTGTGACTCAAGTAAAGGTAGAAAGGAGGATATATGAAGGGGAGTACTAGGAAATACTTTGAAAGTAATTGAGAACAAATTAAGTAAGCTTAGAAAGTTTAGATTTTATTCTTTAGAGTCTATAGTTTAGGTATGACTGCCTCTCTGTTTCCTCTTCAGATCGCTTAGGAAAATGGCTGTCGGTATGATATTAGCATGCCTGGGCTTTGCAGTTGCTGCTGCTATAGAGATAAAAATTAATGTGAGTACAGTAAATCTTAAGCTCCATGAGGACAGGATGAAATCTATTTTGTTCATTTCTCTAACTTGTTCAATCTTGACTCACTGGGCCCTACCACAGTAGCTATTTTTAAAAAGGTGCATAATAAGTGTTTGTGGTAAATGAGTAGATATAGAGGTAGAGCAGCAGTGCAAAATGAAGGCCACCTCCCACCTGAGTGATGTAGACTACATTGTCTAGGAATTTCCAAACACCAGTATACAAGATATAAAACCGTTTCTTTCATACCTTACCAGACATTCAAATATCTTTTGGCAGATTGAATAGCCATTATTGGGGAGTGATGTATGGGGCCACAATTGAGTCAAAAAGCATGGAGTTTGTTACCTGGCATCAGCGCTTGCTACACTGAGTTGGAATTTCCTCCTCCAAACTGCCTTCAGAGCCTTCAAAGCCAAATGCTCTTTAGATATAGAAAACTGTGTCCTCTTGGCTAGATAAACTTGGCTATCAAAATAGGACTGAAGTATGTGTTCTCACTGTATTTGAAGGGTTATTTTCTAGTAATTCTAACACATGTTCTCTCTCCTAAGGAAATAGCCACATGCCAGCCAGATTCCCAAGAAATTTTCCTTCAAGTCTTGAATCTGGCAGATGATGAGGTCAAAGTAACAGTGCTGGGTGATGAAAATAATACTCTGTTGGCAGAGTCCATCAGATCCTTTCAGGTAACGTATGGACATGAGTGAATTAGAAACACTTTGGGATTATGTGCCAAAGCAGCAGCATATACAGTGGTTTACAGCATGCACCTGTGAAGTCAAAGTGCCCCAGTCCAATTCCTGGTCCTGCCACTCCCTAACTGTAAGACCCTGAAGAAGTTATTTTATTTATAAGTCTCAATTTTAGCATCTGTAAAATGGCAATACTTTTTATGTCAAAAACTATTGTAAGGATAAATATTATATATAGAGTGTTTAGCATAGTGTCTGGAACATTGTAAGCTCAATAGGTTGTAATTTGTATTATTATTTCAAACTGCCTCCTAACACATACCCTGTTGAAGAGTTTGGCTTATATATTTTCACTGCTATACTATACATATTCTGAAATATTCATTTAAAAATCTTTTAAATAATAAAAGTAGTATACATTTACTGTTGAAAATTGGGGACTGTGTCAAAAGATTGAAAAATCACCTATAAATCCATCACACAGAGATAATCATATTTAGCTTTAGCATTTTTTTTATAAATGAGTAAACAAACTACTTTTTTAAAAGTCTTGAAACACTATGTGCTATATTGACTTTGATTTTTTCCTTAGCATGATCGTCATCAAAAGGATTTTCCCATGTCCTTAGATAAACTTTGAGAATGTGAATTGAACAGATACATACTATTCCATTCTATGGATATACCATGGTTTAGTAAAATATTTCCTTAATAGGCATTTAATTTTTATTATTATACATATTTCTATAATGAATATCCTTACTCATAAATCTTCATTCATGCCTCTAATTACTCCTATAGTATATTCCTAGAAATGGAATTATGAGGTTAAAGGGTAATGCTGAAAGTATCTGATGAGGTCACCTGCCCCGGGGTACCATGAGACTGCAGTATTCAAGGTGGGGAAGAAGGTGAAAGTGACAGGCTCTTTACTCTGCAGAATATGCCACACTATTCCAAACTCCACCTGAAGACAAAAAGGCAGAATTTCTACTTTCAACTGAAATATCACAATGTGTCTGTCTACACTGAGCATTCTGTGGAGGAGAAAATGTGGTACACTCTGATCATTCGAGAAGATGGGGAAAGTATTTCTAGCATGATGGTAAGTTGAAGAATGGCCTAGTTTCTAATTATCTTAGAGTATGAAGACTGATTCATCAGTATCTTACCAAGGATATACATGATGATCAAATTTTATGATTATCAGTTCCCTCTAGGCACCTGTAACTGATTTTTACTTCCCTCTATTGTAGGTGAAGGATGAAGAAAACAAAACAACTGATGGGATGACAGTTACAAGGTTTGGATGTCACAGAGACCCAGGCCTCTCTGTTCTCTTTAATCTGGGGTCTCTTCTGGGCTGTGGGGCTTCACATGAAGAAACTTCACATGACTAGGATGCTCTCTCCTAGAAGATCAGGAGCATTGGTGTCAGAACACATTTCCTAGGGAAGTGAGAGGCATAGATTCAAAACCAAGTCTTTTGGCTTGCTTTTGCATGTGGTACTCAAAGGTGACCCTATATCTCTATGAACACCCTCTGTGCTCTGCCACATAAATTGCTTCTGCTGCATGTTATCCACTTATCTTGCTCTTAAGAAAATAATTGAGTACTTTCCTCTCTGTGATCACCAGAAAGAAATTTAGAAGTAAGCAAATAATCCTCCCTTCATTACTGGTAGTTGAACATCTTTTATAGTTACTGTGGTTTTAAAGTAAAGTTTAAAATAAACATATACAAGCATCATGGTTTAGTAAAGGTAACATACTTGGATTCAAAAGACTTGGTTTTTGAATCTAGATCAAGCTGAAAGTCTTGTTAGGCACCATGGGACAATTACAGAGATGGAGCCCTGAAGAGGTCATCTGCTCACTGGGGCAGGAATCTGACATGATATAGATGCATGTGTCTGTGGCCATCAAAATTAGATGGTTGCTGTAGAGAACAGCATTTTAGAGGAGAACTTTTAATGAAAAGTTGAAAGTCACTGAAGGCTGGGACAGTCACATTAATCTGCTTTTACATATGCTTCAGGGAGAAGGCAGTGGCAACCCACTCGATCCCAGGGACGGGGGAGCCTGGTGGGCTGCTATCTATGGGGTCCCACAGAGTCTGACACGACTGAAGCGACTTAGAAGCAACAGCATATATGCTTCAGAAAAAGTAAACAGATCCAAATAAGTCATACAACAGTGAGGCCAGGACTTCCCTGGGTCAAAGAGCAATGGGAACCTCCAGGAAGGATGAAAGGAAGCAATTTCCGGATTAGTGCAGGATGATTGAAAGCCCAGGAATCAGCATTAAGGGTTTTAGAGGGAACTGCCCTTCTAATCCCATGGGCCAGGGACTAACACAAATGCTACCAAAAACCCAAACTGAGGGACCAATTTAGGGGCTCAGGTTCAAAAGACTAGAAAAATCATTCTGAAAGAGTTCAAGTTTGTTTGAAGACTCAAAACAATGAAAGCTCATTGTTTTGCTGTGAGCTGGAGTCTGAGTTTTGCATAAAGCAAATTAGACTTCATTTATAAGAGTATGAAGTATCAGTTTTATATAATACTAGTATGTATTTATATATACATAATTATTTTCCTTTTTGGAGCTTCAGCTGATGAATTCCATCATTAAAAAACAGAAAGAAATTGGGTGCACCTAAGCTGGGTTACTGAGGAGGCTCAAACTGCCATGGGTGATCACGATAGTGTCATCCCAGTTGAGATCAGGTGATGATGTGGCAGACAAAAAGCTAATACCTGAGGAAAGAAAAAGATAGGGACAGCTAAGACTACTAATTACTTATGTGTGAGTTCATTTATTCATTCAGTTAACAATATATATCATGTACCTTTTATGTGCTAGCCTCTGTTCTAGACACTAGGCATATAGCAATAAACAAAACAGAAAAGGCCCCTGCCCATTTATCAGGTGGGAGAGTTTGTCTAATCTCTAACAATGTCTCTATCCTTAGGTTTGTTAACACTTTGCATGAAGAGGTCGACGTCTCCCTGGGTACAGATGCATCCCTCATTGTTGGTGAAGACTATGGTGTGTCTGCTTACAGAACTGTGCAAAGAGGAGAGTAAGAGCACTACCCTGTGGACATTTTACTTTCATCAACAACTGACTTTTAAATATTTTCTTTATGTATAGGTGGGCAGATGAGGTATATCTCAGCTAATTGTAAATATATACATACTCCTGCTCTGTTTCAGCCTTTGCCTCCTTTCCTCAGTCTCTTGTTTTTCTGCACAGATATATTGAAACTATGCTTGTTGTGAAACTATGCTTGTACTGAATACTTAACAAGACTATCTCCTGGAGGTTTGCCAGTTTATCATTGGCTCCCACTCCTACCCTTTGGTAACTCCTATAAACACCTTGTTACTTTATGCTTTTCCTTTCAGATTCACTGTTTTATGCTGTTCCACTAATTCATAATACTCAGAAGAGAAAAATTCATAAGACTTAGATGAGAAGACTTAGAGTCTGAAGTTCACAATAGAAGGCAATTTGTGCATTTTGCATTCAGGTTTAAGGTTAAAAAAACATACCGAATAGGCAATGAAATCTCAGATCAGGCATAGCAAAGAACTTGGTATGAAAATAATTCACTCTGATACTCCTCTCCTCAAAGAGAAAGGGTAGCTTTGCTGCTTGACGAAATCACTCCTTCCACCAGAAATGGAAGTGCTTTTCTAAACTGTAATGTTTCTTCTAATCTAAATTTGTCCTGTTCCCAGATATCCTGTGGTGCATTGTAGAACAAAGAATGAGGATTTTTCACTGAATTTGGGTCTACTAGACTTTGGTGCAGCTTATCTGTTTGTTATTACAAATGTAAGTAGCTCATGACCATTCTCACTCTATTCTTCCATTTATCTGTATCTATATCTATGTAACTATACCATATCTAAATTTATATATAATCTATATCTACCTGTATCTTACTCTATGGCAAGACAGCATCACATACTTATGATGGCTTATGGTGAACATTGTCGGATTTGTGATCTCTGAAGAAGATTTAGCTTCAGGACCAGGGACCAGGCTTTATCACTCAAGAGCTTTAGTGTAGCAGAGTTTTATTAAAGTGAAAAGGGACAGAGAAAGCTCCTGACAGACATCAGAAGGGGGACGAAGAGTGCCCCCCTTGCTAGTCTTAGCAAGGAAGCTATATATTTTTTCAGTTGGTTATTACAGTAAATCAAAAGACTGTCTCAAGGTTGTAAAGGTCTTATCAGACCTACTTCTGCAATTTACATTTTAAGATAATGGGATTAGAACTAACAACAGAAAGATCTTACCAGACCCACTCCCATAATATACATTTTAAAATGACAGGATTAGTCAGAAGGTTCTCAAGAAGGAGAAACAGGTCCTCAAGCAGGATACATTGTTGTTACAGAGTTTAAGCAAAACATATCCTTGAGCAACATGAGTTGTTTTGTAGTGCAATCATCAGATATGGACTTGAAGGAAAAAAAAGTTTGTCCTTTTCTCCTCCTTGAACTCCAGACTTCTATTTCCTCCTTGAGAGACCCAGACCCCTTTCTCCTCCCTGGGGACCCTGGACTTCTTATCAACCTACCTAGGAATTGACTCTCTCAGTTATTTCTAGTGTAGGGTGATAGCTTCTATAGTGACTTTTAAAAACTCCTAAGATCTAAATAGAGGACATAAAAGAGAGAACACTGGTAAGAGGCCCAAGATCTTCAGGAATGGTAGACATAATTTATCTTGAGTCATTGCTGTGAGGCAACATGGTCTGCTCCAGTCCCAGTATGGCACCAAGAAAATAAAAATTATTTTGGTCTTCTTGACTGACTTCACATGTGGTTTCCCTAGCTCTTGGAAAACATCTGCTAGCACATCACAGTCTGAAATACCAAGACTGGTAGCAAATGTCAATCTCTACACAAAGATCCCTCAAAAGCAATTGTGTCAGCAATTAGGCATGATACCTCTGAATTTTAATTCTGATGTCAACCTTGATTCCAATTTTATTTCATTACTCTTGACATTGTATTAAATATAAAAAGAGGACCATGAATAAGAAAAAGATGAAAATTTCTCAAAATGTGATGAGAATCATCTATAAAGTTTTATTAATTGTAATTAGTTTAGCATGATATCTTTAGTATTCCATTTTTTATTATAGTTTATTGAAATATAATTCATGTCATACATTTCACCCACTTAAAGTATATAATGGTTTTAAATGTAACGGTAACATATTCAATATATATTGTATATTCAATACACACAGAATATATTTCTAATAATACATATTCAGTAGTTTTTAATAAATTCAGAGTTGTATAATTTTAGAACATTTTCCTCGTTCCAAAAAGAAGCCACATACTCATTAGCAGTCACTCACCGTTTCCTCCCAAACTCCCCAGCTCTAGACAGCCACTTGTCTACTTTCTGTCTCTGCTATTATTAATCTCATGATATATCCAGATATTATACCTACTATCTAATAACATTTACTACCTAGGAAATGGCAACCCACTCCAGTACTCTTGCCTGGAAGATTCCATGGACGGAAGAGCCTGGTAGGCTACAGTCCATGGGGTCGCAAAGAGTTGGACACAGCTGAGCGACTTCAATGTCAACTTGGTTTTATTCCAAGGAAAATATATAATTTCAAAAATTCCATTTCATTTATTATAATAAATATTACTAAATACAATCTATATACAAGAAAACCAACTCAGCTAAAAACCTTCACATAGTGAAAATAATTTTTTAAAAAAGATTGTAGAATCATGTATATTTGGTAACATTAATAACAAAATATTGACCCTGAAAAGATTCTTTTTGACCAAAACTTTATAGGAAAATTGCATCTTTTTGACAAAATTTTTATATGTGAGTTTAAAAATAATGGCCAGTAAATAGAATACAAAATAGTAGATGGTATTTGATATGGATCTTTAAAAATTGATCAAGAAAATCTTCAGTGTAAGAGTTACCAAGAAAATAATTTCTGATTTTTATTTTGATATTATAATATTCTGATTTTAGTAAAATCAGATATAAAAATAAAATATATTTTTTTTATTTTATAAAAAAATAAAATATATTTTATTAAAAAGTAAAATAAATATAAACTGTATAAAGTAATTTTAGTAAAATAAATATTTAAATGGAAAATGTGAGAAATATTTTAATTGTACTTACATAGAAAATTGAACAAAGAATTAAACTTTTTTAAGTACGTGCTTTTCTGAAAATTCATTGTTTGTATAATTCAGATGCCATTTTACATTTAAAATGTTGACCAGGATCAAAATATGCAGTAGGTCAAAATGATGGGATACTATAGTATGAAATAGTTTGCCATTTAAGGTCTCTGCAATAATGGTATCTGATTGACTGAAGCCAGCCAAGTGAGTGCAGTATTACCAAAAGGAACTTCAAAAACCTGAAATTGTGTAGAAATTGCTGTTTCTTCATGGTACCACAAGAATGACAATACAATGAGGAGATGGATACAAGATCATAAATGCCACAGGCCAGGAATATTTACTCGAGACTCCTAACAAGCCCATTTCTTGTTTCCCTCACTAAGAGAACCAGTCAGGGTCCTCAGGCCTGGAAGATGGAATACAAAATGTCCATCGCATGGCAGCTACCACAATATGCCCTTGTTACAGCTGGGGAGGTCATGTTCTCTGTCACAGGACTTGAGTTTTCTTATTCTCAGGTAGGTTTTTGCAAGTGGAAAGTGGAGGTAGAGCTATTGCTCAGAGGATGGAGTTTTAATCCTGACAGTGACACGCTCATGTGACCGTGGCCAAGATCTCCATTATTTTGGGCCTTAGATTCCTTACGATCTTAAGCAGAGAATCAGCTTGACCTCCAGGAACACGGCAGGCTGGATCCATGTTGTTTGGGATCCAAAAAGGGATATTTAAACATTAAGAATAAGGACTGTGGAATCGAACTGCCCATGTTCAAACTTTGGCTGCATACCTATTGTGTAACCTTCAGCAAGTGAATGATCATCTCTCTAAAGCTATTTTTATGTGTAAAATAAGAATAGTAATAGAACTCTCCCCTTAGGGTTGTAATGAAGATTATATGATATAATGAATTAAAATATTCAGTTAAGAGTGCCGTCTTGTTGTTACGATGAACATTATTACCTGAATCACTTTACTATGTTCAATTACTATAAACATATTCCCTGAATCAATGTGAATGCTGAAGTTAGAGGGGGAAGTTCAAATCTGGAAGTTTGGGTGGGAGAACTTTTCTGGGTAGATGCTTGGTACAGGAGAGTGGTGTAGAGAGTTTCTTTACTCACAGATTTGTGTCTTCTTTAGGCTCCCTCTAGCATGAAGTCTGTACTCCAGGCAGCCTGGTTGTTGACGAAAGCATTTGGGAATATCATTGTGCTTATTGTGGCGCAGTTCAGTGGCCTGGCCCAGGTACGTACTAAGAGAAGCAGGAACACATGTCTACCCAAGGATTTCCCTCCATCTTCCTCTGCTGCCCTTCCCCCACCCCTCTGTTCCCCACATTCCCCACTCAGCCCTCTGTCTTAAACATAGACTTTGCCAGGAAAATAGACATGTAAGCTGCAATAATGGCCACCATAGGCCCATGTGAGGAGAGGCCAATTAGTCCTGTCTTTTCCTACCAAAGCTCTTCCAAAACTGCTGACCCTGGGTCAGTCTGCCTCTCAGTCTTCATCTTAGAAAGATCAGTTTACTATCAGGTTCTCCATATTTTTCTCTTATATGTATTTCTTCCTACAGTGGGCCGAATTCATTTTGTGTTCCTGTCTCATGCTGGTGGTCTGCCTGATCTTCTCCATCATGGGATACTACTATGTTCCTTTAAAGCCAGGGGATGTTCAGGGGTCAGCAGATAAGCAGACCCCCCAAATCCAAGGAAATATGATCAACCTGGAAACCAAGAAGACAAGGCTCTAATGGTTCCCTAGACTCTGCCCAGACCCCAGTACCTGACTCTGGTCTTGGCCATCACCATCTTCAAGCATTTTTTACTCCAACTTGGTTGGAAGAGAGAAGTAGTGTCACAATGAACTGATCTCCTTCACTTTTCTCTGATGATAGAGGCAATTCTAGGACTGGGTTTTTCAATACATTAAAGCAAGGTCCCTGAGACGTTATGTCTTTCTGTATATCACTGAACTCAGTAAACCTTGTGTGGTTTTGCTGCAGCTGGCCTGGCATCTCCAAAAACACAAATGTATAATTGAGCTTGGTCTTTGTGGTTATCAAAGTTCTGTAGGAATTCTTTTACCTGCCATTTAGAGCAGATGACCCCACATTTTGAAGTGCTGATTTAAGACCAAATTTCAGAATAACAGAGAAATGGTATTTTCAAATGTCTTCATTAATGGTGTATTTATTGTTTACAAGGACTTCAGGAATTGTTACATCTGGTGTGATCTCATCCAGGACCTGGCTTGTCAGCTATTCAGGTTCAGTAAGACTGTAGTTAATTTTTCAGCACAAATAATAAAAGACAAAATGATATTTTATTAACACAGGATAAGATATATCATTCTGATAATTACAGTATTTTATCTATTAATCCAAACACCCCTTTCTCAGTATTGATAGGTCCTTGGAAACCAAATTAAAAGCAGTAAACATGGTTCTGCAGAACAGAAAAGTATAAACTGTAGAAGTCCTGATGAACAATTCTTGTACAGTATATGCTTTTCTTCAGGACTATAATGTTTTAACTCTAGATTATGCCCACCTGTGGACAACTGTATAAATGCTAATTATCATTTTCCAACCCTCATTTTCAATGTTGTTGGCCCACCTTTTTCTTATTATATTATCTTATTTGTTGCTGCTGCTGCTGCTAAGGCGCTTTAGTCGTGTCCGACTCTGTGCAACCCCATAGACGGCAGCCCACCAGGCTCCCCCATCCCTGGGATTCTCCAGGCGAGAATACCGGAGTGGGTTGCCATTTCCTTCTCCAATGCATGAAAGTGAAAAGTGAAAGTGAAGTCTTTCAGTCGTGTCCGACTCTTCGTGACCCCATGGACTGCAGCCTACCAGTCTCCTCCATCCATGGGATTTTCCAGGCAAGAGTATTGGAGTGGGGTGCCATTGCCTTCTCCATATTTATTGCTACAAATATTTAATCATAACAGTATTTTTTATGAAAACAACTTCCTTCAGCTTCAAAGTAGTGGATCTGTTTTGATATTTTTTCTTGTTTTACTTTCCCCCCAAAATTTAAATGCCCTATTTATTTTTTTTTAAATGTTAATACTCTAGCAAACCCAGTACTCTAGGTTTGAGCTTCTAAAATGGCAGTGCTCAATGTGGGACATGGTCCCATTTCAGTATTCTAACAAAATCCGGAGTTGAAGGAAGAAGTGATAGAATATGACAGGGTTTTGTTTGTTTGTTGCTGTGTTGGTGAAAAAAGATGAGAAATAATACCTTGCACACAGTGAATGACTCAGTGGACAGACATGGGAATATAATGACTTCTGGGGGAAAGTATTGCTGGATGAAATGTTCAGAATAACTGTCCTAGAAAGTCTCATTTTCATTGGTTTTGCTCCATTATTCTCATCTAGAACTGTTTTGAGTCAGTCTCATATTGTAAACATAACAAGAAAAGTTGCTCTGTTTTCCCAAGCTCTGGTCCTGGTTACCAAGTTTTCAGAAGTGCTGAAGTGACAGCAACACTATCCAGTTTCCACAGATAACCTTTTTAAAATTATGTATGTTTATCTATTCATTTACTTGACTGGCCAGGTCTGAATTATGGCACTTGGGATCTTCATTGTGGCAATCTGGCTCTTGGTCATGGCATGAGGAATCTAGTTCCCTGACTAGGGATTGAACCCAGGCCCCCTGGATTGGGAGTGTGTTGTCTTAATTGCTGAACCACCAGGCAAGTCCCTCCACAAATATCTTGATGTGAACCTGACTTTGCTTCTTCAGAAAATACTCTGTCCCCATTTCAGCAGCTTTAACTCAATCTGTTCTATGAACTACTGTCTCAGATATATTAACAGTGCTAATAGTTTCTTTGGACAAATAAATTTTGGAAATGAAGAATATTACATCATCTTCTTAACACCTGGATATTAAAGATTCTGAGAACTCCTTCAGCAAAGACATAAGACTCCTTGTTCAGCCTCATATGTTAGTGTTCTCCAGAACACTGATTTGGGAAAAACTGGCAGACAATTCTTTATGTTGAACTAAAAGCTTTCTTTATGAAACTGCCTACCATGGTTCTTTCCCTTATGGCTAACTAGAATAAGCATAAACCTCTCTTTTATGCAGTACTCTTTTTGCTATTTGGGGAGAATTTTCATGTTGCCTCAAGTAAGCATTCATCAAGCTAAAGATTCTCAGCTTTTTTCATGGCTCTTCACAGGGTATAGTCCAGACCTTTCACAACTGTTTTTCCAATTCTGAAAAATATTCTTTGCTTGATATGCAACAGTGGGTCAGAATCCTTCTCAATATGGGTTCTGTTGCATACATGCTCAGTTGCTCTGTCAAGCCCGACTCTTTGTGATCCTATGGATCCCTCCAGGCTCCTCTGTACTTGGGATTCTCCAGGCAAGAATGCTGGTGTCGGTTACCATTTCCTCCTCCAGGGGGCCTTCCCAACCCAGGGATCAAACCTGTAACTCCTGTGTCTCATGCACTGGCAGGCAGATTCTTTACCACTGAGCTACCTCGGAAACCTGAACACATTTTAAAAGAATTTTTACCACTCTATATATGCATAGAAAACATTTTGGAATGATATTCATCTACTAAAGATTTTTATTGAGGCATAGTAGATATATCATTGAATTCATTCCTTATAAGTGTACATTTGAATGATTTTTAGTACAATCATCACCATAATCCAATTTTAGAATACTTCCATCACCCCAAAAAGGAACCTCTTGTCCACTTGCAGTCAATTCCTGTTCCACCCCTGGCTCAGGCAACCATTAATCTACTTTCTGTCTTTGTAGAGTTACCTTTTCTGGATCATATGATATGTGGTCTTTTACATCTGGCTTCCTCTACTGAGCATGTTTTTGAAGTTTATCCATGTTGTAGCACCTATCAGTTATTTTTTTTAAATACAGAATAGAATTCCATTGTGTGGATATACTATATTTTGTTCATCCATTCACCAGTTGAGGGAAATTTAGCTTTTTTTTTTTTTTACTGCATTTTTAATTATTAAAAATAAGGCCCCTATGACCATTCAAGTATAAGTCTTCAAACAAATAGAGTGTTCATCTTGTATATATGCCAGGGAATGAAACTGCTGGGTCACATGGTAAATTTATATTTGATATATTTTTTTGATTGCCAAAAGGCCTTTTAAAATGGCTACATTATTTAACATTTCAATCAGCAATTTCCATTTCTCCATGTCTAGGCCTCCACTTATTATTGTCTTTTATTATCATCATTCTAGTGGTTGTGAAGTAGTATTACATTTTAATTTCTATTTTACTAATAAACAGCATCTTTTCATGTGCTTATTAGCCATCTTTGTTTTCTCTGGTGAAATCTCTATTTAAATCTTGCCTATTTTTAAAAATTAGGTTGTTTATCTTCTTGAGTTGTGAGATTTCTTTATTCTGGTTAAAAATATTTTGTTAGAAATATGATTTGTCATCATATTCTCTAAGTTGTGACTTGTATTTCCATTTCCTTAATGGTGTCTTTTGAAGTGCAAAAGTTTTAAATTTTGATGAAGTCCAATTTATAAATTTTTCTTTTAAGGGTTATATTACTGGTGTCATATCTAAGAACTCTCTAACTAATCCAAGGACACAAAGTATTCTGACTAGTTTTTTCTAAATGTTTTAGTTTTAACTCTTACAGTTAGGTCTGTTGTCCATTTTGAGTTAACTGCTTGCGTATACAACAAATCCACCTTTTTGCTTGTGGCTATGCAAATGACCCAGCAGCAGTTTGTAGAAAAGACTATTTTTTTCTCCATTGAGTTGCCTATATAGCTTTGGAAAAAAATCAATTTACCATAAATATAAGGATTTGTTTCTGGGCTCTTAGTTATTTGCCATTGACCAATATGTCTGTCCTTATGTCAGTATCACACTATCTCAATTATGATAGCTTTACATAGTACACTTTAAAATGAGAAGATATCTCTTCCAATTGTACTTTTTTTTTTGGTCTTATTTTTTATTTTAAATAATCCATACTCCTACAAACATTTTTTCCCCCAATTATTTTTATTAGTTGGAGGGTAATTACTTTACAATATTGTACTGGTTTTTGCCATACATTGACATGAATCAGCCATGGATTTACATGTGTTCCCCATCCTCAACCCCCCTCCCACTTCCCGCCCCATCCCATCCCTCTGGATCATCCCAGTGCACCAGCCCCGAGCACTTGTCTCATGCATCCAACCTGGACTGGCGATCTGTTTCACACTTGATAATATACATGTTTTGATGCTGTTCTCTCAGATCATCCCACCCTCGCCTTCTCTCATAGAGTCCAAAAGTCTGTTCTATACATCTGTGTCTCTTTTTCTGTCCTGCATATAGGGTTATCGTTACCATCTTTCTAAATTCCATATATATGCATTAGTATACTGTATTGGTGTTTTTCTTTATGGCTTACTTCACTCTGTATAATGGGCTCCAGTTTCATCCATCTCATTAGAACTGATTCAAATGAATTCTTTTTAATGGCCAAGTAATATTCCATTGTGTATACGTACCACAGCTTTCTTATCCATTCATCTGCTGATGGGCATCTAGGTTGCTTCCATGTCCTGACTATTATAAACAGTGCTGCGATGAACATTGGGGTACACATGTCTCTTCAGATCTGGTTTCCTCAGTGTGTATGCCCAGGAGTGGGATTGCTGGGTCATATGGCAGTTCTATTTCCAGCTTTTTAAGGAATCTCCACACTGTTCTCCATAGTGGCTGTACTAG